GTGTGTGTGTGCGTGCGCGCGAGAGAGAGAGAGAGAGAGAGGAGAGACAGGGTCACATCACAGTGGAGATGACCCCTTTAACCGTGGCTTGTGTACTGCAAACACGTACCAGCTTCATCACTGTGTCTGTCCCGCGACTCTGTTCCCCTTTCGGGCTCTGTCTTTACATTTATTTTGAAAGATGAAGCTCGCGATTATGGTAAGGGGCGTTACATTTCCGACGAGTGCTTGCGGTGTTCGGCCAATCGCAATGCACTGGGTCAGCTGGCCAATCAGAGCAGACTGCGCTTGTCGGAAGGAGGGACTTTGTAGAAAACGAAGCGTTTGAGAGCGGCGGGGCATAGAGGACTTACAATAATGTACAGTATTTGAAAAATAATGTGTTTTTTGAACATTAAAGCATGTCAACATATTCTGTTACACCAAATACACAAAATAATGATATTTAAAAAAGCATCATATGACCCCTTTAATAAATTGATGTTAAATTGTTTAAGTTTCATGATTTTAATTAATTAGACATGCTTTTTGATTAATAAAGTTTAATTTAACCATTAAAAAGGAGTCCAGAAAAAAAAAAAAAACGGAATTAAAAAATTACTTACACAAAAATGTCATCCTTCTCCATGATGTGATTGAGACCATCATCCTGTCTGTAGATTTTGTGGAATCTGTGATTGTAAACATCTGCCACAACCATCTAGAAAACAGAAAACAATCTCAGACTGTCTGCTAGAAATGTATGCCAGTGTTATATACTGTAAAAGAAGACATTAAAGGAACAGTTCAGCAAAATAAGAAAATAGCCATCATTTACAACAACCTCATTTTGTTACAAACTCATATGACTTTCTTTGTGAAATAGAACACAATGTCAAATTTACATGCTTTATTCCAAGGTAGCCACATGGGCTTATAACAGTATGGGGGTGGGTAAATGATGACAATTTTTTATTTTTGAAAGTACCATCTCTTGAAGCAATATTAATAATAGAAAAAGAGGTGTTAGGTTGGGAACCACAAGTCTTACATTCTCTGAAGGAACTCCAGATAGCTTGGCCAAAGCGCTGCACAGGTCTGCCACTACACCCATTTTGGGAACAACTACACGATACTGGAAGATAACAAAAGTATCTTTTAGCCCACCTCCTGAACTAAAACATGTACCTGAGTGTTTTCAGGAAAACGGTTCTTACTTGCATGGGTCTAAACTGTGGGTCAGTGTGGACCAGGAACACCTCCATAGTGCGATCCTTTTTCATGGGCAGGGGCAGTGTGAGGTAGCAGAAGGGGTCAAAGGTAACAGAAACTTTGGAGCATTCTGGGCAAACCAGCGTAGATTTGAACAAGCCATGGAAGATGTCCACAATTATTGAATCGTTCCGCAACCGGTGATTCGCCCATGCTTCCTTGGCTACAACCTACAGACAAATGAGAGTACTGTAGGTCAGATAACATTCTTCAGTTTAAAAGTAAAGGTCCAAATGCCTACAATGTTATAGAGATTTTCAGAATAATGCTTACTCACTAGCACAAAAGAAACAATAGCTTTTTCCTAGTAATTTATTGTTTTGACTACTTCTGTATTTTGCTTCCAACTAAAATAGCATGCTGTGGTTTACACATAATGATGTAAGGTTTACCTCATCAGGCCGCCCCTCAGCATCTCTCAGGGCCAGATAAGGCTTCTTCTTAACACGGTTAAGGTCCTCATGTAAGCCGTCCAGCAGAAAGGCCAGCAGCTCCTGAGAGTCTTGTTGCTGGTACCCTGAGAACTGCGGGGCAAACCGGCCCACTTGGGTCTGACGAGAGAGAAGATATGTTTCAACATTCAGATTGAATTATAAGGGTTTGTGTTAAAAATGGCCAATGATACCCACAGTAACTTTAGCCTCTGTAAGCTATAGATTCACTCACTTTAAAAGTGCGTGGAGCCACATAACTGCTCCGACTAAGCCACATCTGTTTAACCAGATCCGCATAGGCCTCTGCAATCTCCCCTCGCATCCCTAATGGATTTTCCCGGTTGATCTCAGCTTCGTACCGGTCCTCCAAGAAATATTCCGTTAGAGGGGGAGTGTTGCTCAGGCACTGAAATAAGAAGTCACTTAGAATGAGAAGGAAATAGTCTAAATCAAGAAGACAGGGTTTGGCTGCTAGATGTCATAACTACACAATCTGAACCTTCTTCCATTGACACCCATCAGCAAACTGAGTGAATATGGCAGATTTCAAAACATACGGTGTAAATAAACATTCATTTTTGAATACCTGGAGGGCAGAGTTCATGAAGCAGGTGTTGCCCAGGTTGCTCAGACCGCAGAGGCCTGGCTGAGCAGCAGATTCTCTGTAATTGTAGGAGGAGCTGTAGGAGTTGTAACTTCCCAGTCTGCAAAATGTATGGTGGGTTAGCAAAGACATTGACCGTGAGTTACCACCACAATTACGGCCATCACAATTGGTCAACCAAATACTGAATACAAGAAAACTGACCTTGAACTGAAACCTTGTTTTAGTTCCCTATTTAAACTCTCACAGTAAGGAACAAAACTAGTTTAACTATGGAGTAATTTAGGACTGTTTTGATTTAATCTCAAGCTGACCTGTTACCAGAAGTACTGTTGTTCAACATGTAGCCAGAGTTGCTATTGCTATCCCCATTTGTTATTGTGGAGGATATGGTGGCAGATGAGTTTGAAGAGAGTTTTGGGGAGGTTGTATAATTCCGAGAGGTGGAAGTACTGGACCTAGGCATAAATCAAAGAATAGGTTAGGGTAAATCCAAGCAGTGTTGCAAAAAGGGTTACTGGCAATCAAAGTAACGGATTTAAAAGAAAGCTCCCAATAATAAACAAAAAAAAAAAAAAAATAGAAGAACTAAAAGAAAATGATACCTCCAGATTAGGGCTGGACAATAATTCAATATCAATATGCATCGCGATATAATTTTTTTCAATAACAGTGATATGATTTTTAAACACATTTCCGATATACATTACCAGTGTTTCCCATACATTGATTTATTTGTGGCGTTTGTGCTGATTATCAATATTTAAAACAGTTGAAAATTTATTTATTCAGGATTCTTTGATGAATAGAAAGATCCAAAGATCAGCATTTATCTGAAATAAAAAGCTTTTATAACATTATACACTATTCCATTCAAAAGCTTGGAGTCAGTATAATTTTTTTTTTGTTTGGGAAAGAAATTTTAGAAATTTTATTTAGCGCTGCAATTTTATTTATAATACTTTTATTTAACAAGGATGCTTTAAAATGATCAAAAAGATTATGATGTTACAAAAGATTTATATTTCAGATAAATGCTGTTCTTATATAGTAAAAAAAAAAATTCTAAATGTTACTGTTTTTGCTGTATTTTGGATCAAATAAATGCAGGCTTGGTGAGCAGAAGAGACTTCTTTAAAAAACATTAAAAATCTTACTGTTCAAGAACTTTTGACTGGTAGTGTATGTCAGCCTATAGTTCGATATAAGGTAAACATTACATTTTTTTTGCTGTTTTTTTCTTAAATATTATATAGTTTTATAGGAGGAGGTTTCATAGACTTGGAAGATTCATTTTCCAGAAATTTTTAGGTACAGACATCTGTTGTGGGTGTTCTTGGCAGTTTTTATGAGGCTTTTTTGTATTTTTTTATAGTGTTCATATCGATATTGGAATTATATCATATCGACCGAAATTAAGAAATATATCGTGTTATAAATTTTGGCCATATCGTCCAGCCCTACTCCCGATCTAACCCTTTAAGTGATTTCTTTTAAGCATTAAGCTCCCATGTTAATCACAGTTACTTAAGTGTGAAAAATCACCTAAACTGCATGTACATACTTTGAATGGCAGGTCTGTCTGGGCCATGTGCCATCCTCATTCTTCTTCTCTATAACAAGAACCTGAGGAATGAGATGAGATTGATGATGTGAACTCATAAAATGTCAGTCAAGAGTCTCAAACCAACCACAACAGGAATAGAATGCAGCATGATGTTTACCTGGCCCTGAAAAAGCCCTGCGTCCTGTACGGTGCTGTCAAGCTTGTTAAGTTGTTCATAAGTGTTACTCATATATTTATTCCAAAGTCGAGTTTCCTTTTCAGAAGGGATATCGAATAAAGACCTCATCTCCTTTTCAATAGTATCTAAAGGGGTGGAAAAGTAAATTTAAAAAATGATTGTTCACAAGGGCTGCACAATTTGTGACAAAATCAGTAATGCAAATACTACTGATGAGAAAAATTTGTATTTTCTGGAAATCTCATACCTATAGTGTCTGCTTTGCTGAAATGGCGGGTGACAATTTTGTCCATGTTGTCATTCTCGCACAGGTTCAACTCAAGCAAATACACTTCCACTTTACAGTGCTTCACAAACATTCCATGTTCAACAACCTGCATAACAAGTTTAAAAAACACATCACATAGCAAAACAAAATTAGAGACTTTTAAAGAGTCCTCACCTCCACTCAATTAATTAAACTTTAATTAACCATTTAACTGTGTAAGTTTCAATGCAATTAAAAATGACAATAATATCACCCAATGACCCTGCCTGTAATCACTCAAGTATATCAGACATGATATTTATGAAAGAAAAATGTAAACCAAGAGATTCCCACAATATGTAAAACTACAAAGAAATATACAATATACAAAGAAAGATGTGGAACCTTTCTGATGATGGGTTTCTGACCCTCCAGACAGCCATACCAGCTGACCAGCTTATTCCAGGCCTCTGTAGGCATTAAAACATAGTCTAACTCATCTATGAGATGCTCTTTCAACGTCTGAGACTCGTGATCTATGATACAGAGAGAAAAGGGGAAATCATTAGAAAAACACATTAGAGCCCTTTAACACTACACTGTATAACCTAAAAGAATTTGCCATGCTAGGCTCAGATTTTGTGTGGTGCGCAACAACTTAAAATTGTTTTGATGGTTTTCAAATGGCAGTTTAATCTGAAAAAGCTTACCTTAAAAATGAAAATTTCTGTCATTATTTATTCACCTTCAAGTTTTTTGACTATCTTCCAAAAAAACACAGGAGAGATACCGAAGAATGGACTTGTTGCTTTTTTCCAAGTAATTACAAAAATGAGTAATTAGGGCTGGCGATATAGCTAAAAAATGTATCAACGATATAATGTTTCATATCGTTCGGTATCGATAATTATTGACATTTTTTATAACCTTTTTTAAAACAAAAAGCAATAGAATATTCATACTAGACTAACAAAACATTAAAATGCAACAACGGCACTTAGCCTACATCATCACCACATCTCGCGCGCCACTGATGACGCTCCCCGATACACACCTAACATTCAAATGCAAATGTTTAATTTAAATTCGACTAATATTTATTCTTTATTCACAATCTCCTCATCACAGGCAGGCACAGCACTCATTTCAGCATGTGTTCATGTTTGTGTGTGCTGTCTGCGTCACTCATAGTACGTGCCTATATCATGCGCTATATCGAACAATTTTTCTATCGATATCGAAGAAGGTGTACCGTCGATAAATATCGATACTGTTTTATCGCCCAGGCCTATGGGTAATGGAGCTTTCAATCTTCAAAAAGGAAGCAATGCAACATAAAGGCCATACAACTATATTCCAAGTCTTTAGAAATCAAATTATAGCTTTAGGTGAGAAAAATCTACAATCTACTTATTAGCTATGCAACAATAATCTTCTCCTCCAGTGAGATGTTAAATCAAATTATTTCATTATTAATTAGTTCGAACAAATCACTGATCAATGAAAACATTAGACTCATAAAGTTTATTGTATATGGCTTAAAATTTCCTTTTGTGCTCCACTGAAGTTGGGATGACATGAGGCTGAATAAATTAAAGAAGATTTTTGGGTGAACTACCCTTTAAGACTGAAATATCAAAACATAAATACACAGTAAGATCCTAAAAAAATTATTTACCTAATTCAGAGGCTATTCACATACCTAACGGAATAAGAAATCATATTCTTAAAAGCTCTGATAAAAATTAAAAAAATCATTTTACTGCTGGCAAGAAAGAAATCTATGAGAATGTGAACAAAGATAGGCACAACCCTCAACATTGATTACCTGAAAAGAGTCCAGAGTTGTCAATGGGTCCCGGGTACAGATTGTGCTCTCCAACATTGTACAAATCCCAGCTGTCAAAGCCCACATATTTCTTCCACTGTTTGAACCACCGGCTGTCAATCAAATACCTACACAATTGGAACAATAGGTGGAGATCAGTGAAAAGTCAAGTGAAAAGTACAATTAATGAGTTTCTCTCCTAAAATGATAGGGCTAAACTGTTGGCAAAGCAAATATCTATTGTCTTGTTACACATCTACAAATATAGAACAGTCAGTAAGGATGTCTTTCTTAATCTCATCTAAAGTAGGAACTTGTTCCACTACATAAGCCTGTTAGCACTTGATTCCACACTGCCAAGGGACATTATACTTTGGTTATAATAAAGGTCCAATCAAAATTCTGAATTAAAATTGGTCACCCAAAAGTGAAAATTCTGTTATTGTTTACTTTTTTCAGTGGAACACAAAAGATTTCATTTTCATTTCATGGGGGAAAATGCATTGAAAGTGAAAGGAAAGTGAAGCTGTCAGTCTCTTAACTTTCAGCTTAAAATCTCTTTTTAAATGCAACGAGAAGCCCGAGCATTAGAATTTTTTTGTTCATTTCAAAACGTTAAATTATAACGTTAATGTCGCCAACATTAAACTCTTCAGAAATAGAGTACACTGAGCTTAACTAAGAAAGTTTACATGAGTAAATTAATAGTTTTCGTATAAATCTATGCACTGAAAGTACTTTTAATCCAACTGAAACTAAATATTGTCCTTTCTGTTGAGTCACTAGTCTCTTCACTTATTAAAACTTGTCAGTCTACTTTCAAAATAAAAGCGGACTGTTATCCAAACCCTTACATATACAAACGGGTTTAAAATCGGAATAATGCGTATATATTTTGGGCTTGTAATCTCCACTAACTTCAGACCTATTTTTGTGTGTTTACTATCTGTGCCATAAACTCGTCTATTGCCAAACAACATTGTGAGTTACTGGGTGTTATCCCGTGGCCATGACAAAGCACTGCCTCACTGTAATACTGGTTTAGGTAGCTTAGTCTTCGTCACAACTTCACAGGCAGTTGTTTGGCCGGTATTTTAATCTAGTTTGACAGTTCGTCTTAAATAAGGTTGACGTCTGACAGAAATTAACACTTAACCCGTCAAATGAAACGCAAACTAGCCTGGCTAACTAGCCTCGGCTAATGAAGTGCCTTACATGCCTGACGCTACTGTGCCATGTAGCTTATCAGAGAACTGATAACCGACAATGGGGTGGTTGAGTTTATTTACCATCCCTTCAGCTACTAACGTGTCTGAAAACTTCTTGTTTTTCCATTAATGAGACATTTAAGCAGAATAACTGGGGAAAAACGCGAAGCTAAGGTTGGTTAACCTGTGCTAACTAGCTACAAGACAGCTTCCTCGAATTCTAACCGATGTAAATAAAGTTAAATCCTTATTACAGTAAACCGCACGCTTGCTTCGTACACCTCCTCGATAATAATAGCAGCCTTCTAGTTTATGGGTGTTAGCGGAACAGGTGGCTGTCCAATGCCCGGCTAGTGAAGGGATTTCCGGCAGCCGGTGTCACCGTCAGTAGGCCTGAGCTGATGCCGACAAGCGTGCCTTGACTTCGGCTTCACATAAAAACCTCTTACCACTCGTCTCCCTTTCGAAGTGGCGTTTTTAGCAGTGTGCCGATGCTCTGCTTTTGACTCTCGGTGGACGGTACTGGTGTCTGTGCGATCACCGGCTTCTCGTCGGGGTCCGAAGCGTTACCCGACTCGGGTCCGCCTCCCTCCGCCATCGTGCAGCGAGTGAACCCGCAGCGGCCGCGAGCGCGCTCAAGTATACCGGGGACGCGCCGCGCGAGAGGGAGCGCGCATACTTGGCTGCCAAATTCAAGTTACATGCATACTCGGCCACATGAACAAGGAGAGGCGGATAATTCATACATTTTAGTGTCCTTTATAAATAATTTGGGCCCTGGGAAGATGTTTGGTTTCCGCATCCCTGACAGCTTAATGTATTCCTGTCAGCCGCTACAATACTTTTTGATTGATAGGACCGTTGCTAAAGTGTCGCCGAAATTGTTTTTCTATTATATTGAGCTTCGAAAAGCGTATTTGTTTTAATTTAATGGCACCCACACAAGAAAACCGATGTCCGATCAATGAACGAATCTTCATTCTGATTCGAATTTCGATTTTGGTTGGTTCTAGCTATTGGTTGATTCACTGTCCAGACAACGGCTGCTCTGGCACATGTCCGATTACTGTGGCCGGTTGCATACTGCTTATTTATTTATTTAGAGGGCAGTTAAATCCAAAAAGTAATACTTTATGACCACTTGGTTAACAGCTAGTTATTCAAACTTGTTCTTAAGACACAGTCTTAAGTTTATGCAACTGGCCCCTGGAAATACGACATACCATACAATACAGAATTAGTTTTATTAAATAGCATTTAATTAAAATGTTCTGAAAAGATAACATTTGTTTGAGAAATATACATTTTAGTATTGTTTACTGTAAATACCAATTATATTTGGCTATAAATTATTTTTTAGCCAAATCATTATTCGATTATAAAGAGTGGGTGTTTGACCAATAGAGAAGATCCACCATATTCAAGTCTTTGCATAAATAGAAAATGTAAAATAAAAAAATTGTCATTTTGATTAAAAAAAAAAAAAAACATGAATAAATAAAGTAGCCTATCATTTTCTTTGAAACAGCGTTCTCTAATGAATCTGCACAATCAGATGTTAAAAAGTAAATGGGGTCAAATAGGATTTTGTTTACTGTAATGGTGGACACATTTTTCTTCAACAGTGGTAGAAAAATAAATTAAATATAAAAAAAAAAATACAGAACAGTGCATCACTATTTAGTAAAACAGCTGTATTAAGAATGTACACATACAGTAAGTGAGGAACATTTATTTAACAAAACCAAAAATGACATTTAATAAAAGTAAAATAAATACATTAAACATGCCATTAAATCTTAATATGTAATGAGGATGTCTTTTTCACTACATACTCAGTGCAAGGTGTATTGGCACCATAAAAAAAAGCATCTAATACACTAGTAAATTTAGGAACATACTATTTAGGTAACTGAACCTATGTTATGGTCTGATCCACTTTTTAAAATGTCATCACTTCCTAAAACTTCCTTTTTGCCTACTTGGTCCAAACAATCAAATGGTCCTAGTAAAATAAGAAAATGGGGCTCATAAAATAAAAAAATTTAATTGAGTTAGAAGAAAAACAAAGAAGACATAGCAATAATCATCAGGGAATGTTTTCAAGAAAACCAGGCCACACGTGCCATTATAGGGTGCTCTGTAATGTTTCTGTTGCATTGTATGAATGCAGTCGCAAGAGATAATCGATAAAGCTTAAAGCTTTATCACACCATGACACTTACGTCTCAGCAAAAATGAATAATGGATGGAATGGTGCATGCATATTACACAAAATGTGATATGTCTGCAATGAGGTTTATGGCACTTTCTGGAAAAAGAAAACCAGTCTGACAATTCACTCTTCTATTTCAGTGAGGTCCTTCAAAACCTCTCAGTAGTGGACAGGCACTTAGAAGATGCCCGTTGGCAACTCTTTGCTGAACATCCCAGACAAGTCTAAGTCCTTACTCATCAGATCGTCCTCAACATTCTCTAAGGCCCACTGATGATCCGTCAACTCCAGAGCCTCCCATTCCGCCTAAGAACAACATTCATATACATAAATATAAAAAAATTAAAAAATAAATGAAAGTTTGCAGCCTCAAAATAATATATAAAACAAAAAAAAAGTTTTGTAAATTTAAAAAGATTAGTGTGCAGCTTCTAATTTGTGATACCTTGAATGCTTTGTTTGTGTCAGCAGGCATTGCCATTGCAGCACCACTCATCTGTTCCTGCATGATGCGAGACTGATCTGCACCTGTTGCAAATGTAAGAATATGAATTGCATACGTACTTTATATACAGGGCCTACCCTAATTAAATAATACAAATGCAACATGAAGAAATAGGATTATAATACTAAAATGATTCAAATGATTTTTAAGCTCAATGTTTAAAGGCAAAAGCTATTAGTGCAACACAAATTTAGCCCTTGTGCTGTGCTAAAAATCGTTTACCTACTCTGGTGTTCCAAGTCAAAAATGACCAGCCTTTTAAAAATTGCTTACAAATGCTATATTATTATCACCTTATCTGGATCTTATTGTCAACTTGTTTTTTCAATTAGCACAGGTTTTGTATTGGTTGTAAGCCTCACTGATCTGAGCTTATACATCTCAGTTTACTCAATTTACTTTTTGAGAAAAAGAATTTCAGGAAAAAGATCCTCCTCTCTGGGGCAAAATGACCAGAACGCAAAAGGAGACAACTGACAATAGTTAGATCAATATTACAACGTGGCATCACCACTGGAGTAGGTCAAAATTATGGCGTATTGAAATGGAACATCAGTAAAGTTATTTACCATTGTCTTGTCCAAGAATCAGAGAATACATGCTCCTGAGACCAAACACATTCAGGAAATACCAAGATGCTGAACTCACACTGAGGATGAATACAGCACAAGATTGTTCCTGATGAGAACCTGGCTGTGTAGAGAATGTGATCTTTATTATTTTGTAACATTTTGTGAGTTAAACAAAACATGTGGCTAGATAATGAAACAGTCCAGTGAAAATTACCTGTCTGAAACCTGCTCTAACGTGAGCTTCTTGTCACTTTGTAACAGAATCGAGACATAATGGCGGATCACTCCAACCAGAAAAGTAATAAACACAATTGGCAGCACAACCCAAAGACGAATATTGGAGTCCAGGAGGAGCTCGGGCTCAGCCATGCTTTAGTGAAGGGAGCATATAACGTTACACACCCACACCGAGCATATGCTATATTTTCGACGCTACATGTTGCGACAACTGAGACTTTAACATAATAAACGTATTGTACCTACTCTCGTATTCAAATTGCGGTTTATCTCTTCAAAGCCCGATAACAACTCGAACCAGGATGCGACACCATCGAGCCGCTGCTGCTGCAAAGAAGTGTGAACGCACTTGCAAAGTGGTACATTTATCGCTTAAATTCACGGAGCGAGTTCCAATTAATTTGTTCATATTCATGTCAAGTTTATACATGTCTATTTCGTCTTTATCTATTACAGAACACAGAAAGAGAAAAGCAGGTGCTTCTGATTTCAGTTTAAATCCACCCACTGTAACGACACATCAGGGTTAGCTTGCTGCTAACAACCTTCTTTCAGGCTAAGGGTGGTGAGACATATTTTTTGCCTCAAGTGCCTGGTGAAGGTTAAATGTCAAATCTGCATCATAAGGGTGCCATATGGTACATTTATCGCTTAAATTCACGGAGCGATTTCCAATTAATTTGTTCATATTCATGTCAAGTTTATACATGTCTATTTCGTCTCTATCTATTACAGAACACAGAAAGAGAAAAGCAGGTGCTTCTGATTTCAGTTTAAATCCACCCACTGTAACGACACATCAGGGTTAGCTTGCTGCTAACAACCTTCTTTCAGGCTAAGGGTGGTGAGACATATTTTTTGGCATATAACGTTACACACCCACACCGAGCATATGCTATATTTTCGAAAACATTATATGAGTGATTCATTTAAAGATAGTGATACATATCAAATATATATTTCCTGTAGATAAGGTTGCTATGACATCTACATTATAGAGACCAGAGGAATTTCAAACAAACAAACAAAAAGTCCTCAAAATTATTGAAAATAATTAAACTGTCAGTAATAAAAAAGCAAAGGACAAA